TCTTTCTTTCTTTCTTTCTTTCTTTCTTTCTTTCTTTCTTTCCCTCTCCCTCTCTCTCTCTCTCTCTCTTATTTTGATTAAGGGACAGAAATTCAAACAGCCCACTTACTCAGAACTCTTGTATGGAAAGTCTTCTCTAAATTCACTGAATAAATGAGTCTAGCCAAAGCAGTGTAATTCTACCAAAATGATACAGTTTATTGCCAAATTTTTCATTATGGTATGTTACTAAAACATTTCTATAAAGAAGCATTAGCAGAACAACTTGACTTACTTAAAAATATTTTTGCAATAAATTGACACCTCTTGGAAAGTACACAAAAATCTCCGAATAGCAGCACTCAAAGGAGTGACAATTTAAGGCACATGATCATTTTACAACCTTTTTAACATAAATCTCTGACTAGATCACATATTTGTAAAACATAATTACATACAATTAACTTCAGAGCTCAGAGAGGATTCAGCAGAAGTCACATACACTTTTTTTTAACGTTGCTAGGACATAGTGCAGCATAATGAATATCGTCAAAAATTATTCTGTACATGGAGAAAAATATATAGAAAAGACATCAAATATTCTTCATTTTTTCATTTACAACAAAGTGGGCAATAGTTACATGTTACTAGTAATTATGGAATACCCAACTTGACTTTCTCTGACAGAGCTTATCATACACACACAAAAAAATCTAAAGATATTTTTCAGCCAGGAAAGCTCAAGAGGAACTGAACTGGCCTCAGCAGAGGTGAACTGATTTATCGACTGATCACACCAAACTAATTAACTGCTATCTCATATGGTAAAAAAATAAACTGATACACATAGCCAGCTTTAAATCTATGTTACTCTGACAGAAATTAGTGGGCCTCAACTAACTAAAGTACATTGAAGAAGCAAGAAAATACTTGTACCATCAGGACTTGTTCAGAAATCTGGAAGTAAATAGAAAGAGTAAAGAAACAGTGTGAGATAGATAATGAAATCTTATAAATTGCTTTTCTTATATACCCGCATAAACATAGAGAGCAATTGCCATGGAAAAAAAATAAGGAATTATAATCTACTGTATTCTAGCTGGGAGTATTTTTTCCAGTGTGCAAACTGAAGGTATGAAACTTTTTTTTAAGGACATGAAACATTTCAAACTGAGAAACTTTGCCAATTAGAGCTCTGATATAGAGGCAATTATATGAGAAAATGTGTTCCAGAGTCCTAAGATCTTCATAAATAATGAAAATTATTCCAAGGATAAGTCTGTTCACTACCAGACTGAGCATTTTATCCTCTGTCTGTTGAACTGTGGCTACGCTGCCCTTTATAATACAGACAAGGCTTAAACAATTTGGAAGCCAGTAGAGAGCTAAGCAGTTTGTACATAATGCCTTTCCATTTCTCCTGTTGTCAAAAAATGGGCTATCATTTGTTTTGCAAAAACCTGCTATAATTCACAGCCTTCTCAAAAGCAAACAGAATCTTGCTGGCTCCTTACAGGAAATACTTCATTTACAAAGACTGTAGTGTTACTGATCCTCTTATTTATCATAAGAACATACAAGAACATGAAAATCTTGTAACTTTGGATTTAAAAAGTATATACGCTTGTGTGTGCAACACTTAACTGGTGAGAACTTGCATCTGCTGGTTAGGATTTACAAATGCTTTATTGAGGTAGCCTAGGATTACTCTAACAAGCATGCAGAAAACACAAGGCATAACATGTCTCTTCTTTTGATTGCATGACAGCAATGGCCTCTGTACCATAGCAATAAGAAAGGAAAGTCTTGTTCAAAGCCAACACCATGCTACCAACTTTGTTGTTGGTATTTCAGCATTATGATATGAGACTGGAAGTCAGATTTTGGCACATTGCACGTTCTAAGTGAAAATGTCTGAGATCAGTAATGACCCTGCTATGTGTCTGTGCCGATCACTAAAATTACAGGATATGTTCCAATTAGAACAGGATTGAAATGCTTTACCAAATAGTATATGTATATATATTCAGTTCAGAAAATGTGGTATTTACATCATGGAATTACAGAATTTACTGGAGCTTTTCAATTTTCAATTGAATCTGTGTCCAAGATGATCATGTACAGCTGTCTGTGGATTGATATCCAAGGACCAGCACTCCAAGTCTGCAAAAGCATAGGTTATGTAACTGGGTTTGTATATGACAATTGCCATTGCAGCTCTGCAATTTGAACTAGCCTAGCAGGCAATACTAGCAAAGAGCACAAAGATAGATAAAAGCTATGGGCCTGAATTTTCACATATTGCTTCACTCTTAGAGGACAAATCGGTAAATCTATGATTGGACATCTAACACAGAATCAGCCAGAGCCCACTTCAAAGTCTCAGTAGGTATAGGGAAACAACCACACATTTCCACAGATAAAATAAAATTTACCAAAGAAAGCTGCTGTTGAATCCAGCATTTAGTAATACAGATACTTCCCTGAAGCTGACATTCGCTTACATTCGCTCGCTTACATTCATGTGAAGTAGAAATAAGGTACACATTAGGATCAAGGAAGCGGTTAAACACTCATCTCCTATTAATGTCAAAGAACCTTTACAACTTATAACCACTGAAAATGTTGAGACCAAGTCTCAGGACTGGAGTCAATTAAGGGCAAAGCAGGCTGGCATGCAGTATCATACATGAATGAGAATTCTTAGAGTTTTCATTTTTATTTAGTTTTCATATAGGCTAGCTTTGATAATAGGAGTCTAATGCAATTTTATTGACTGTCATTTAACAGAGAAGTGGACAGGGGCTGAAGATAGAAAGTTCACAACACAAGCATACTGCCTTTATACAGTACTTTGAAACATGGACATCCTGAGTCATCGTGGCACTAACTCTTGTGTCAAAAATGGCATTGAGAGGCCATTATCCCAGAAAGTGCATTATACATAAATTAACAAGATAATCCAACGGAGTATTTGGAAGATGTCTTCCAAAGCAGCAGGACAAATGACAAATATTTACACTTCTGTGAGGCTATTTAAAATAGAGCAGCTTAATTAAGAATACAAAATTGCTTGTGGTTACATAAGATAAAATTATGAGCTAATTCTGGATATTCTTTCATTCCAATACCACTGAGTTGTGGAAATGATGATGAATGAAGGAAATGACCATCCAAGAGACCCGGACAAAATTTCAAAATGCAGGACTTATCCCTCCCTGCAAAGATTTCTGCCAGAATCAGTACCTCATGATTACTCAGTAACACACATATTCAGAGCAGTAAAATATTTTTTCTTTAGTTTGCACTTATGAAAGGCACTGATCCATTTCAGCTGGAGTAGAATTAGCAGGCAAGAGGCTAACCACTGACTTCTCCTACATTAATTTCATACAACATAAATACTGAACCCCACTAATGAGGCAAAAAATGCAGCCCATTTTTGTTATAAGTATTTACTGGGAATGTATGGCATAACAGATCATTTATATATTAAAAAAAAGAATACTTCTTGTTTTAGCCTTCCAAAAATAATGTTTTTTTTTGTAACAGTCTACACGAAAAAATAACAAGGAGGCATATTTTTCCTTCATTATGCACCCTTTTAATATGAACGTGGACTTAAAACTGTAAGTGCAACAGAAAACCTCCAGAATTTCTGACATCGTGGGATGCCGCTTCCTTTCCATCCCAAATTATTCTACAGTAGGCCCTGTGAACCAAGTGGTTTCTCTCAAATTTTACAGAAAACCTTTGTTCAAAGTATTCTCTCTCAGTTCTTCCTTTCAGGTAAGTCCTGGCTCACAACTGTGTTTCCTCTTGCTCCAAAGAATGTGGAGGGACATGGCAAGATGCTGGAAGAGATGCTAGTTTTTGAAGCTTCGGGTGTTGAAGAGGTTTTGGCTTGTGAAATGAACGTCGGCTTTGTACACGCCTGGCTGCAATGGATCTGTAATTTCCTTGTACATCAAGCAACATTTTCTTCTCCCTGGGCTCCTTCATGTAAGGGTCTTCCAACTCTTCAGGTATAAGTAGAGAATTCTCTTCTTGTGAATTCTCTGACTTGTAGCTAACTTCAGAACAATAACCAGAGTTTATCGTCTCTTTGTTATCCGTATCTGCATCTGTTTCCCAGAAAAGATCAGGTACACTTGGGTCACAAGAAGCTATGTATTCAGAGACAGTAGAAAGAGATATATTCCCTCTGTTTTCCAAGGAAGAATAGTTTTGTGTCCAAGGCATTTGAAGACAAGATGGAAAGAAGTGGAGGGGATTCTCTGAAGCACTTTCATTTTGGTTTAGTTGGTCAGATGTATAAGGAGGAAATTTGTCATCTGAAGAGGAGTATTCTGTCATTTCAACATCTTGGTCCATATCACCTAGAGAGCACAATTAAATAGAAACATTTGTACATACATATTTTGTATATTACTATTCTGGCTAATAGGCTTTTCTTTTGGCTATTTTTATGAGTGTCTTATTAAAATGAGTGGTTTAAGACCATTTTTGAGCTGGGGAACTGTACCTTGTTCCTGTTTCTATCTTGAATAACCTAAAATGAGCCTTTTGTCCTCGTTGAGAATCAGGCAAAACTGAGCTTAGTATTTGCAATGAATGCAGCCTGCTTCAACACTTAGGAGATGGAGTCATCATCAGGTTATTGTAGTGTATTTTTATCTTGAGACATTTATTCCTAATGCTTACCAAGGAAATCTTTTGAAAGAAATTGCGCTCTTTAAATAAAGAAACAGAATGTTTCACCAGAAAATCCAACTTATTCTTAACTGTCATCTATGATGCTTTTTGTTTAGACTATGTAGAGAATCTTCACATTCCCACATTTGGTTTCCAATTTACTTTGGTTTTTAAAATCTTCTAATTGAAATTTTAATAAAATTTTCCTATTAGGAGAATTTCATTAAGTATGTAATTGAGAGGACTGTTTCTGAGAATAACCAAAGTCCCAGATTACTTTCTCAGGAAACCTAACTTCCCAAAATACTTCTAAAGAAACACAGCACTCAAAGCCCACAAACCCTGATATTTTAAAGATACCTGCACAAAAACTCATACATAGCAGTTTCTAATAATACAGTCACTTATAATATGGCAATCGAAGTGAGAAAAAGAATAAAGGTTAGAAGTTAAATTTTGGAAAGTATTATGGTCAATAATTTATGACAAACTAAGTGGGAAAAAGGAGAGGAAGACTTCAATGTGCTAAGTGTCAAGGAGAAGTTTTCCTTGTAGAACACTGCTTGTTATTCAAGCTTTTAATTAGGATACCAGAATTTAATTCACAGCTCTTTAGTTAATCCAACATTTCTTTTAAAACACTATTTTAATAAAACAATCAATGATATGTTATATGAAACTGAATATTCAAACAAACTCATCCCTACAGGTTTCTCCATTAAAGTGATGTACTTTCTGTAATTACACTTGAACTAGCACACCTTCTGCAAGACATAAGCCAGAACAGAATAAAATCAGAACTTCTTTATTTTCCAAAGATTATTAAATTCTTTTCAAAACAAAATTATGCAATGTTCACTCCTATACTGAGATCTTTGTCTGAAAAAAGTTTCATCAATTAAGTACTTTCAACTTGCCACATTCCTTTATTTGTTGATGAACAGAATGCACTAGGTCACATGTTTGTGATCATGGATTCTACAAAAGCTAGACAACTGACCGTCACATTTCATTGCATAATCAGTGCCCTATGCTCTATTCAATTATGATGGTTGAACTGTGACCTGACCCACCTCATTTACTGCACTGACTCTGTAGATTGTAGAAATGAAGGCTGATTTTATGATGTGGAAAATTTTTATAGAGCAAGAATTAAAGGGCAACTGGGATATTTATATAAATCCAGAGTTAATTTATTTTTAAACCTCTAAGAAATTAGAGGCAATGTTATTTACTGTACCAAATTTAATTATTTACTGTGTCAAATGTTTTTCTGCTTTTAAAATAGGATATGGATTAAGAGAAATTTAGATCTCTAAGATCATCCAGTCCCACCATCCACCTATCACCAACATTTCCCACTGCACCACATCCCTCAGTACATCTAAATGTTTCTTGAACTCCTTAAGGGACAGTGACTCCACTGTTTCCCTGGGCAGCCCGTTCCAGTGCCTGACTGCTCTCTCAGAGAAGTGGCATTTGCTAATGTTCAACTTGAATCTCCCCTGGCACAACTGGAGGCCGTTCCCTCCAGTCCAATCACCAGTTACACAAGAGAAGAGGCTGATCTCCAGCTTACTACAGCTCCCTTCAGGTAGTTACAGAGAGCAATGAGGTCTCCCCTGAGTCTCCTCCAGACTGAACATTCCCAGCTCCTTCAGCTGCTCCTCATAAGCCCTGTGCTCCAGACCCCTCACCAGCTTTGTCGCCCTTCTCTAAACACGCTCCAGGGCCTCAATGTCTTTGTGGTGAGGCTTCCAAAACTGAATACAGTACTCAAGGTGTGGCCTCCCCAGAAAGAAGTACACAGGGATGACCACCTCCCTGCTCCTGCTGACAACACTATTTCTGATACAAGCTAGGATGCCACTGGCATTCTTGGCCACCTGAGCACACTGCTTTCTTATGTTGAGCCAAGCATTGGCCAATACCCTCAGGTCCATCTACACAGTATTCAAGCCACTCTGCCCCAAGCCTGTAGTGTTGTCTGAGGTTGCTCTGGCCAACCTGCAGGACCCGGCACTTGGTCTTGTTGAACTTCACCCCATTGACCTCAGCCCAGCTATCCTGCCTGTTCAAATCACTCGATGTTTCTACTGTACACCAAAATGTAATAGAGTCCAATGAGTTAAATGACTGATCTGACTTTTTCCAGGCAAAACGTATCTTTTGACATCAGCAGATAGATTGTTTTTATGTTGCTTCATCCTGTCTTTGCTTACGTGTGAAGACAGTCCTGACAGTGTTAGTTGAAAGAACAACTGTTTTTTTAAGAACTTGAATCAGAATTACATCATGTCAGGGAATTCAAATATGAGTTTTATCTTCTAGAGCTGACTAACCAAGAAAAATGAAGTCTCTTGAAACTGGATACAAAAACATTTGGATGTTAGGAAAAGTTCCTGCTTGGCATTTTAGAATTTACAAGACAAAACAAAGAGCAAGAACATTTTCTGCTCTAAAAATGGTACGGCTTTTGACCTCAAATAGATGGGCAAATCCTCAAATAGAAAGAAGTTTTGTTATTCAAACAGAAGGAAAAAGCCAGGAAATAAAGAGACACTGGGAGAAGAAAAATCAGAAAAATAATCTTGTCAGTACTCAGGCTTGATACTGATTGAGATTGATTAAAAACAAAGGTGATAATCTCTCTTAAAATATTACATATGTGTTGATTCTGGGAGAAAAGGTCTGGGTTGTTCCTCTGGGCCATCTGCTAGCAGGAAAGAATCTATTGATTTATTGCTGAGCCGGAACGGAGTGAGCCGTCTGAAGTTGTTTGGAGAATAAGGGATCTGCACTCGGGCCCTTTGTGACGGTACCACAGTATCTTCACTAGACAACCATGGTGAGAACTTCATGTAGATGCTTTGATCATCATCAGCTGAAAATACTGGGTTATCAATTCCTAAAAAAATTCACGAGTGACAAACACAGTTAATCAAAATGATTTCTTGGTGACACAGAAAGGTGCTTTGTAAAAGAGAAAAAAAAATAGGCAAAAAGACTATTATATAATCAAAGGTTGCTTTTTCTGGCTTGGTTATAGCTAGTTATTTTGGATTTTATTTTTTTTTATGTAGTGAAGAACTGTATAAAATATGCAGTTATGATTGAGATATCTGGAGAAAATAAATAAAATTGCTAAAAGAATAAACCAACTCATCCCCTAAGCAAAACAAATCAAAACATGAAATAGTTTCAGAAAAAAATCAGACCAAATCCATAAAAAAGAAGGAAAAGATGACCAAAAAATGCAAAAACATGAGCTGCACATCTCCATGAAGGAACAAGATGTGTGTGAGGGCACTGAAATAAGGCACTGAAGTAAAAAGAGCCTTTTAATATAAATACCTTTTAATATAATACCAGACAAAAATTGTAAAATCAGTCTAGGCCTGCATTTTGCTAGTCACTTACTTTTGGATTGATTTCAGTATGTCTTTATAAATATTCAAATGTGGAATTTGTCGCTGGGCAGTTAAAATATTGTATCACCCTGTTTGTCAAAAGAGTACAGACACGAAGATTTTTCTTCAGTGTATGAATGGCATTACATATGCTGATAATTCAGACACTAAAGTGCTAAAGAGATGCTAAACCTTAGCACCGTACAAATCACATCACATACTATCTCTTATATGTAGTGGTTTATTTTCAATATGGTATTTTGGAGCCTTCCGGGTCAGGAATTCAGGTCCAATGAATACTCCTAAATATCTGGAAATCTGCACTTTTCTGTGACTTCTGTAAGTCTGCAGGAAATTGAAGGACTTGTGAATTTAAGAAATACTGAATGAAAGAAGAAATATGGAAGATATCATTGCAAAGTTCTTTTATGCAAGTAGAAATCAATTGGCCTGGTGAGGTAGGACAACATTAACATTTTCTGTTGCTGATCTTATGGTTAGATCTTAGGGTTAGGCAGTCATTTTCACATCTCCTGTCAGTATTATCAATAGCAATAGCAAATTTGATGTTCTCCATAATTTCACATTGAAATTTGTTACCTTTGCCATAATTTTAAGCAAATATCAACCCTCAGAAAAGAGATCCAATCAAAACAAACAAACAAGCAAAAATACAGGCTAAACCTGCAGCATTTCTAGTAATTGTTTTTATATTTGAGTAAAAAAATTCTGCATGCAATTAATATTTTTACCAGCAGGGTTATCTGTGAAGTTTTGCTTGGTCACGTTAGCCAGAAAATCAACTCCTTTGCCTAGATGCAAAGTTTCATAATCATTATTTTCTTCTGCTTCAGAAAATTCCGAATCTGGAACAACAGCAATAAAAAACATAAGCCCAGTTTGATCGGAGATTTCTATCAGTTCTGATGAAAAAGTGAAAGAGCATTATGTCATATTATATTGGTACAGTCACCAAAGATTAACAGTTGTAGCGCTGGCATGACAGTGTGAATATATTTGCAAACTGCAGTTTGGGTACCAATTATTTTGAGAAAATCCGCAAGGCTTTCAGACTTTCACTGTTACCTGGTGTTATGATAGAGATTTCACATTCTGAATAGACTGTTGGCTAATAGAACTAGAAAGTATATTTTTCTGAGTCTGAAGGAAACAAACTTTCGATGCACGACTACTGGTGCTGTTATATTTTTTGTCTTACTTTCTCACATTTAGAGAAACGTAGTCCCTTAAAATAATTTGTTACTGATTTTTCATTATTAGAATCACAGAAACATACAATGACCTTGGGTTGAAAAGGACCACGATGATCATCTAGTTTCAATCCCCCTGCTACGTGCAGGATTGCCAACCACCAGACCAGGCTGCCCAGAGTCAGTTAGACAGAGGTTGACATTGGAATCCTGACTAATTTCAAAGCTGATGAGGTCACTGCTGCTTCTATCATCATCAGATCAGTTTTACATCACCTTCTAAACCACTTGTTAAGTATGTCCTCTGAAGAAGTCTTTCTTTTTTTCCAATAGATGCAATACATGCATCCAATACATGCAGAGTCCTTCAACAAGACAGCATTGAATGAACTAATTACAAGTCTTTGGAAAACACTTTCTATGCAAGGATGTTCTAGAATGTTATGTCTATTTCAGCCAGCATGTATTGCCCCTGCCAGTCAAAAAAGTAATGTTCAGAAGATGTCTTAGGTAGCATACATAAAGAAAAAACTTGGCTTGGATCTAAAGAGAAAAAATGACTCTCTCTGCTTTACTTCAGCTTTCTTTGAGATTAAGAGTGTGAATAAACATAAGAAAGACCACAAGTAAGGGTTAGTTCAGTGGGCTTTAAATCATATCTCAGTTTTTAAGTGGCACATTCTTATGAAGGATTAACCAGTACTCAAACTGACCTCTGACAGTTTTCCCTTCAAATCTGCCTTCTCTCCCCAAGTTCTAACTTCAACTCAGCTTCAACTCTGATTCAGACTCTTCTAAATAAATAGGCGTTAATTCAAAAAACATTTCCACTCTGACTGAACTTTGCATGGTATGGTGTCATGGATAGGCATACCTTACTTGATGAAAAGAAAAAATTTAGCAAAACTTGCTCTATGCAACTTATCTAAAAGTAAGCAGAAAGTTCAACTATGTTGCAGCTAGTGCATTGTTTTGTTTTCAGGATTTGAACAAGGTATTTTACAACTATGAGTAAGAACACTAATTCAAGTTTGATTTGTCATTCAACAGCCTGGGGAAAAGAATAAAAGAAAAAACAACTTCTTAATGTTCCGGATACTGTTTTAAGTATGGACTAGATCCCCACTCTCTGTTATAAGTTATGACTAGAAGTCCCTCTCTAATAGCTTCACCACTGCATATCATTAAATTTTTAAAGGGATTATTTACAGACAACGTAGCTGATGAAATACTACTGATCTAAAGGTCTTTTTACCTTTTTCCTTCAAAGTATAATCTTGTACAGGATTTTCTGAAGGTATTTTTCCATTTGGTATGACATTGCTGTTTCGCTGAAAGAAAAGAAACAAATTAAATGAACAAAAATGCTACCAACATCTTAGAGCTAAGACATTCTTTGAAATCACTGTTGAGCAGCGTTATCCTGATGTCTGTTGCAATCTTTTTTTGAGGTTCATTATTATTGTCATTAATTTGCTACTCTATACTGGTACAGGAAAAAGAAGGAACTTGGTCTTTTCATACGATGTAAGTTCCTGGATCATGCAAATTTTGTGAAATGATGAATGCTATGTCTGTCCTGGAAAAGCTCCCCACAGTGTTCTAGCATGGCTCCAAATCTGCTATTTCTCAAGCGATCAAAAAACTCTCAACCAAAAGAGTCCCAAAGCATGGAGAAAAGCAGTATATGAGAAGATGCCCCTTGATTCATAGTTCAATCTTTTCTTGCTTACACCCTTTAAGTTACTAAGTTCTATACGACAGAGATAGATGCAGGACATAGGAACCTTAAGAATCCTCCCTGCCCTCCCTTTGTTTTGTATACTAGGTGGCTACATCTGGGTCCTTGTGCAGATATTTTACCCTTTTTTGGCCCCGTTCTCTTTTGTGGATTTTATTCAGCTTCTTGGGATGATTTATTCCTAGTTTAGTGCTCTTGAAAGATTCTAAGCGCTTCCTCATTGTCCTGTGGAAAATCTCCTTGTCTTGTTTCTCATCTTCATTGTGCATGATCTCATGTCGACTGTACAGATGTTTGTGCTGTTATGAGGAAAGGAAGACAATATTCATTTATTTAGAAATAGAGCTGGAAGCCATATCAGTGCATTCAGCTTGTGTAATGAAAACAAAAACAACTCCTTAGAAGAATGAACCAAAGCAGAGTCTAAAGGCATTCTATTTTTTTTTCCCTCTTTCCTCGTGTAGGAGTGCATGATAGTCATTCAAAGTAAGCTTCTCTCTATAATGTCTAAACTACTTTGATCTATACAGCCCATTTATTCTTAACTTATATTGGACCTCGTTCTGTACTGTGTTAGCCCCACACTCACACTAGACCCTCTCTGTTAAAAAGGCCTGTAGGTGAGTGCGTGAGCATATACACAAAGCCTAACTCCCTCAAGAATGCAATTTGCAGTTAAGATCTTCCCTTCTGAGTTTTGCTTTCGTATTTTTGGTTTCTAATATCCTAATCTTTGGATTTTAAAACATACTAATGCAAGTCTTCTGCTCTCACCTCCTGCCTGGGCTTATATAGGTACTGTTGTAGGGTGTGATGTGCAACTGTGTCTTCTGTGTCCCGAATACTTTTCCTCCTCTGCTCTAAAGCTTGCATGTCAAGGCAAACCGGTCCAGCCTTTTCTCTCCTGAAGAAGAATAAAAAACAGAAACAATTTACAGATGAAGTTCATATAAGTAATAACTAAATAAATAAATGTCAAAATTGGTTGAATCAAAATATCTAATGCGAAAAATGAGGAAAGTGTTGATTTTGTCTTTCAGGAGGTTGTCAACATTTATTTCCCTATGTATATGGCAGGTGGGCTGTTGTGTGAATGAGACAGGAAAGAATTAAGGGAGCAGCAATTTTTTTCCTTGATTCTCCTCTAAAGTTTTCTGGAGCAGACACAGAAATGCTGTCTGGTTCTGTCTACAGCAATTGGTGAACAAAAGTCACAAGAAACAATTCTAATGTGGTACTCTGCTTACCAATCTTTACTTCAAAATTTGTTTGCAAAATGCAACAGAATAATGGTAATAATAGTATTTTATCATCTATTTTATGTGGGAGGAAGAGATTAATTGTAGTTCATAAAATTTGAATGAAGCCCCTGTAATTCGCGTTTTTCAGACACTGTAACCATCTTTTTTGCATTTCATCACACACAAGAAAACAAAACAAGCAGAAGACACAATCAGTACAAGTAACTTACAGTAAATAAGATACAGAACTTTCTACAGTACTTGGACGCGGGGTATTGAAATCCACATTGACCATGTTGTCTGTACTTGGAGAACGTATAAATGCTAAGGAACCTCTACGCTCTCCCTGGCCAAAGAAAGAAACAAGACACATTACAGCTGTAAACACGTGCAGTAAAATGTGGATTAAAAAATGCAGATCATATGCTGTATAATGCTGTTACATGCAAATGGCACAGGAAATAAAAGAGAAGTTGCATTTAGTAAATGATAACAAACTATTTTATTTTGTTTTGTTGTTAGGGTTTATTTAAATAAGTGACATCCCAGTGAAAAAAAGCTAAGTGAAAAAGGTTTCTGATCTTGTAAATCTGTTTTAGTGAGGTGAGTGATCTGTTAGGCCTAACCTGTTTGAAAACTATGCCCTTGTGCTTTTGCAGGCTAACTCCATCCTTCAGGGATGGACCTTTACTTTGTACCACCTTGCAACCCAAGCACATAGGCATATATGTGTAAAATTTTAGGACTCCAAACATCACTGCACTAACAGCAGTGTTTTCAAAGACATTGCACTATGTTTTCTATTTTCTGCCAGACTGGAAACAGCAGAAGTTACGTAGTGTATAAATCTACAAGACTACTTGTGGGTTATCTGGTGAAGAGGTGAGATACTAATAGAATCATAAAACCATGAAACGCCATGGGCAGGACTGCCAACCACTAAATCAGGCACTAGATCAGGTTGCCCCAGGGCCCCATCCAACCCGGCCTAGAACACTTCTAGGGACAGAGTATTCACTACTTCTATGAACAACTCATTCCAGCGCCTTTCAGATCTCTGACTGAAAAAATTCCCCCCAGTATATAACTTAAATTTTTTTAACATAAATTTTTTCTCTTTCAGTTTAAAACTCTTCTCCCTTGTTGTATCATTAACAGACACTGTGAAATGTCTGTCTTCACTCTGATTATAAGCTGCTTTTAAGTACTGGAAGGCTGCAGTGAGGTCTCTCTGGAGCCTTCTCTTTTCCAGGCTGAAAAAGCCCAGCTCTCTCAGCCTTTCCTCATAGGAGAGATGCTCCAGTCCTCTGATCCTCTTCATGGCCCTCCTCTGAATCCACTCCCACAGTTCTGTATCTATATTGCAAAGGTAAGCTTTGTAATCAGTTCTGAAACTGGCATTACAGAAGTGAGTTTCTGGGAAAGCTCAGATTTCTATCTTCATGGTTTTCCCTACCATTTGCACAGTCTTTTACTTAGGTGGAAGTTAACTGTTGAGAGACCATAGTTATGTAAACTGCTGTAGCAGAAACACATGTCATGGCCTAAAACAGGGATGGAGCACCTGGTGGGAACACAGGGCCAAACCAGGGCATACAATGTGCCTGAGTGACTGGAAGGGGTGGAACCAGGATCCACCCCCTACCAGACCTTATTTAAGGGTTGGCAGTGGAGGCAAGTGTATCTTGCCAGAGGTCTTCTGTAGGTAAGCAGCTTTTTTCCTTTGTGCCTGCAGCAGCTTGGGCTTACCATGACTTGCTGCAGCCTAGGACTCTGCTACCCTGCTGTCACTGCTATGTTTTCCATATCATTATAGCGTTACAACTGTAAACATCTATGGTTTATATCAGAGCAGAAAATCATGTATTAGATGATTAAATCATGTATTAACAATGTAGTAAAGAATACAATCTCCCTTATGCAATATTGAAAGAGATTTTATCTATTTTTTTCCATCTACGTTTCATTCACTTTACATTTTTTGTAGTCACAGAGAATAAGACAAACAAACATTTCCTTGTACTATGGTAGAGCTCACATACATGTTACACTAGAACAGATGTATCCATCTGCAAGCCAAGCCTGTCCTGAGGTTAATCCCCTGCCCCAACCTATCATGCTGGTGGTTCTGTGCCATTGAATGGCCTAGCCTTGCCCTCAGTAAGCACCCATCTTTCAGCAGTGGCCAACCAGTAGTGTACTGTTTACACTGTTTGAGCTGGAATTAGGACACTGGAGGGTGTAGAGCAATGCTAACTCAAGTTATGGTATATAATTTTATGCATTTTGATACATTTGCTAAATGCGGTCCTGTGAACAATGAAAGGTAAGCCTTGCTTACCTTGTTCATAAAGGAATTTGAGAATAGGTTTCAAGATCGTTGAAAAAACCATTAATTTTTGTTATATTTGTGACTCTATTTTCATTTGACATAAATACACTATCTGCAAATTTTCAAGAGGAATGTACATAGTTGCAAAATCAGATAGTCAACTCAAAAATCCAATCATGCATCTTCATTAGGCTTCCATAAGACCTAGATTGCCAGAGGAAGATATCCCTCACTTCACAATCATGCCTTATTCTTGTCATTGCTCTTTGGAAGTATGTATATTTGTGAATAACTGTTTTCAAGGATTAGGTATAGGAGTAAAATTTCATCAAAAATCTCTGACACACACCTTAAGAACTCATTAAGAATGGCAATTGCCTACAGGAAACCAGACTGATGTATTAGTTTCAAAAAACAAGCTCAAATATCCCCCTAGTCTTATGTTATTGTTGAAATTTTTGTGGTGTGTCTTATTGAATATATAGATATATATTAAAAAAAGTTTTGTTATTTATATACAATAGCTACATTTTATATGCAGCTCAAGACAATTCCTCTTCACTCAGTGCAGTCCAGGCAAGCCAAAGATTGGATGCCCATGCATTAAAGGCAACTGGCAGTGCCTGCCTTCACTCTCAGTGCCTGCACCCTTCTGACCTGGGGGCCCAGTGCTGTCATCTCTCTTGTGCTGCTGATAGCTGTGCCCCCACATGCACCGGCATTCTGCACTCTTTTATGCTATAACTGCAGAGGAAGAATAACTGCTTGCATTATGTGCTTGCAAGACATGAAGCCTGGTGAGACCCCCATCCTAATGATGACTTACAAGAAGGCTGCCCCACTTGCTGCTGGCCCCACTTCTCCATGCAGCACCTCACAACTCTTTACCATCTCACAGTGGTGAATTCATGCTGTGAGTCATGTGTTGACGGACAGCCTCCTGCAGCCTTCTCCTACAGTGCCTGTTGCCAGCCCTGCCTTTGGCTACTGGAAATGTAAATCATCACCACCAGGAATAAAAATATTTCCGTGTGCCACGCGTTTTTCACAAAGGTTCATTCTTTACAGGCTGTGTGACATACTTGGAGTCTATCTAGTTGTGAAACTGCAGTGTCTCAGTTTTGGGAAACTACATCTTGAAACATATGGTAGTATTAGTTGTCCCACAAAAGTTATCACTACATCACTAGAAGCAATAAGAAAGAATAACGTATCTTCTTTATAGTTACTAATGAAATTTACTTGGAGCTTCTCTGTGAAGAAGACAGATTTAAGAAATGTTAACAATATTTATTTCATATTTTTTTTATAATTTTATTTTCTCTTCTTTAATTAAAAAAAAAAAAACTAGAAAAAAATTGTTATTTATCTATATTAACTATGTTATGTATTTTACACAGCCCAAGGCAATTCCTCTCAGCTCAGTGGGGCCAAGTTAAGACAAAATGTTGGACACCCAGGAACTAGTATCTGTTGAACCAGTTCAGTAGTAGGTATAGTTTGACCCCTGTAGAAATTAAAGAGGGATTTAAAAAAAAAAAAAAAAAAAAAAAAAAAGCATCATCTCACTTGTTTTATTATGAGCATCTGACTTCTTTTAGAATGAAGTATAATGTTTCATAGATACCTTATATCATATCATCTGTGGAGGAATTTTAGCCAGAAGAAGACATGATCTGTTGTATCATTCCAAAAGGTCCTTTAGCCCTTCTTAGCACTGAAAAAAATGTGGTCATCACAGATAACTGAGCTGCTGTTTGCAGGATGAATCTGTAGAAGTCATACTAATGGTTTCATGAAATGTTTTGTGTTAAAAATAAATACATTTTTTGGAACTAGAAGTAATACTTCATGCTAGAAGTCTTACAGCTCCTTTGAAAAAGTTGTTGATATCTGATATCTAAATCCTTGTTGATCTTTTATACTTTTTCTTGTACATTAAGCAATGGTGATGCACTACCAGAACATAATGCTCTAGCGCTTTTTGCTCAGAGATTATCTGGAATCAGTGTATTTAGGGAAAAAACTCATCTTATCCGAGTCAGATGCCCACTGAAACATGAAGAGACTCATGCTTTTTTTTATTGAATAAATGCAGCGTAACAGCATGAATGAAACTTTTTGTAGAACCTGGAAAACTTTAAATTTCTTTGTTTGTTCTTAGCAGATGAGCAAACATTTGTAGTCTGCCTTCAAGACACAATCTACACAAATATTATTTGAATTCATCAAAAGACAGCCTCCTTGTATCATACCATATATTATGTACAATGAAAAAGGCCATTCTTCCGAACAGTGAATAATCTAACTTAATTTTACACTAGTGTATGCTGTTTATGACATTATTGGGTAAAGATTCTGCTGATAAATCTGCATAGCTTAGCAATCAGTACAGCCACTCACATCTGTTAAAGAAAAAAATGTAATGATCTACAAAACAGACTCAGCAGTGAATCTGAGCATGTGTATATGTTTACCATCCTCATCAACATCTAATTTTCTTCCTTAGAGGTGCGACCTAGGAAACATCTTGGGAAAGAAAATTTGTTCTCAAGCAGTCTGAAAACTTTATGGATAGTTTAAAAAACATAAATCTGAGAAAGTTGTTTATTTTGTGAAGTAATCCCCAATTTTCACACTAAAATAATTTCTGATTTTGATCTTGTTTTGCAAATTTGATATTTGAAATTCTGTAATTCATTGTAAGAAGTCTAACAGGCTGTAGTACATTCATCAAAAATGACATTATTATCAGTAGTGGGAGTGAAATAATTTATTTTAATTAATGGAACTAACTAGTCTGTTTCTCAGCTGTAAAATAAAAATAAAAAGAAAACAAAAGAAAAAAGTACATTTAGAGATTAAGGCTTTAGATCGATTATCACTTCAAAAATCACTTTTAAAAATTCCTGTTTAAAATTATCCTTTGCACCGTGTGAATGCTGCATACCTGTGTTGATCTAAACTAAGCCAGCCAACATAGTGATGAAGAAGATAAGGAATTTGTACATAATCTGTTAACATTGTTTTGGTTTGGGAATGATACTAAAGCAGAATGGCAGTAACCTTCTTCCATTTAGTAACTTCTGTACTTTACCCTGCAGGTCATAAGTTTTGTCATTGCATTTACTGTCATTCTAATCCTAATTTTTGAAATGTAGGTATTATTCTGCCATTGAAATAAACTGCTCTCTTGCTGATCTCTCTCTATAATAATAATGTGATCTTGCATAATAAGATAACACTAAAGTCAAATGTTCACACCATGTGGAAATGAGATTCTTCAAATCAGATTTATTGTCACATAGTCGGTATTCTATAGGGAAAAGACAATATTTTACCTGATCCATTTCTGATTGCAGTGTTTCTTGATGCAATGAATACTGATAAAAAAATTCTTCAGAAAAATTCAACAGAAAAATACACCAACAAATGTTTATCATACTCATCTTGGGGTTCGGGCATAGTACTGAGAACTATGGTTACCCAAATGGGTGGTAACAAGACTCATAACTCTTAAATTCCACTTAGATAAAACAAATGAAAAGTTTTGTGTTGTTTTTTTTTTTAAGACATCTCCTGCAAAATATCATCTTTAGATTACACTGTACATTAAACATAAAAAAAAAAAGAAAGAAAAACCAGAAAGGAAAAAAAGTAAGTACTTATAAGTACCTCAGCCACATAGCTAATTGCATCCTTCAAGTTGAGTTCATGGAAAACATTAAGGATTTGGTCTCTTGATTTTTGAGCAGATCTTCTCATCAGGAGTTTACTGAGGAATTTCCTATCAAAATTGGACCACCTGATAATTGAAACAAACTATGTTAAGGGCAGCAAGCAATTGTATTATATAATAATATATATATATATAATATATATATAATATATATATATAATTAAAAATAAAAAATATAATAATAATATAATTGTGCCTGAGCATTTGTAATTTATCAGAAAAGACTATTGTGTGAGCTAACAGCATTTAGTTAATGTCGAGCATAAAAATCTGAGGGTTTGTATTTTGAAGCTTTTCAAATAACAGCTAAAGAAAGGAAAAACCTGGTACAGCTAGTTATGCAGCTGTCACTAAGCATTTAATAGGTTCACTTAACAAATACTACTGCAGCAGCACAAGTGCTATGATTAAGGTATCCCATTTCATAGTCACTTTCTAGTCACTTTATATACTCTGGTAAATCATGCTACCTTCTTTTCCACTCATGATTATTTACTATTATACTTAAAATCTTCATTCTGAAAGTTCAAGTTTCTTTCCTTTATTGGAAGGAAAAGTACATTTCCACAGCTGTATTGTGGTAACCCAGACTAGAAAGCCGGTTTCCAACCATTGTACTACAAAAGCACAGAGAGAGGGCCTCATTTCATGCTGTTTGAGTGCTGTAGGAGATAGAAGTGGTACATGTTTGCTGTGATGTTCACTTCCAAGATCGTCTGATAGTAAGATATTTGTTATTTTGTGCTTATGTTCCAGAATTGATCATTATTCCTCTTCTCTAGTCAGAACATCTGAAAATCAGTTTCCAGGCTGTTACACCTGAGCATATTACTGAAAAAACTGGGATACTGCCATTTCTTTGAAGAAGTAATATTTCCATGTATATATAGCCTAGAAGAAGCAGACTGAACGTGGTCTCATTAAAAATATATTTCTGCACACTACTGAGAACCTACGCTAAGCTACTAAGAGAAGGCTTCTGTTACTCAAGCATATTACCTTCTGCCATATGAGAAGACAAACTGTAATCTGCCACTTTAAAAATGTTTAGTTCCACCTTTAAGTCAATATTTCAGACCTGATGATGTATTCCACTGCAGTGTAATATTCTGAAATTCTTTCCTAAAGTGTACGTTAAAGATTATCAAAAGAAAAAAAGATGTTCTATTTGGGATGCCTAGTGAGAATTCTTCACTGCATAAATGAACACCAGACAAAAGAAATATGTATTATTTCAATGTGTCATTGCAGATATTATGGAGGGATATATTATAAGATAAATTTCATGGCTTTCCTCCAAAAAAATGAAAAAAAATGAAACAGTGACAACTGTCTCTATGACTGGGTACAGTCAGGTGAGCGATTTTGCTTGTTCTCACAAGTAGCTAGATACAATCTAGCTCCAGCCTAGAAGCCGTTAACCTGCATGAGTATAATGCTAAACCTACACTGTTTTCAGCTTCTCAGCAAGACTTAGAGGAAAGTTCTGCAGATGATTAATGCAACTGAATGACTTTTAGACTGGAATTGACATGTTGAGTCAGAACATCAGCAAGTCACAACTATGAGTGTCTGCATCTATGTTATGACCTAAGTCCAGAGAGACAGTCTAACCCTAAATCACACTGTTAAAGAAGTCCAGATTTAACATCATTTTTTGACATTTGTTCATCTAGCTTATGGAAGCCTGCCCCTCTTAATGGTAGTTCTTCACATTCTTTTATGAGAATTGTGTCTGTACCATTCAAGTGAATAATTTTTCTTCTCTCAAGATGAGCAAACAATTGCAGTTATTTGCTGTCCCTACTTTCAGAGGCTTGCAGGCTTAAAAAAGTCATAATTTACATATAAAATTTCCTAGCAGTATTTCAAACTCTACAAGTTAGTTACTGCTTACTTGTCTCTCAGATAGTTATGTCCTATTTGTCCAGAGATGTCTTCTATAGCAGAAAGAATGTGATCAAAGGCCTAGAAAAGTAGAAGTGGAATTAGTATCACACACACATTAAAGGCATAATTATAAAATATCTGTATTTATGTCAGGTTAGACCAAGTAACTGTAGAAAATTTTTATTGTTGTCAAGCAGATTTTTTTCTTTCTTTACAGAAACTCTTACTACCATATGCCTTTCCTCGAAGGTCTGAGCCGTCTAACCACTCCTTTGCAAATTCACTGACTATTCATAATTTACGAATTAACTCAGCAAGAAGGTACTTAAGCCTTCATTTTATTGGCATTCAGTTTTAGGACTTATTATCAACTCATTTTACATCTCCATTTCTACCCTTTAATATAATGAATCATTATTAGCGTTGATGATTCAAGTTACTTGAAAGTATTTCCTAATACTTTTTTTCTTTTAGATTTTTCAGTATCTTCCCCCAGGGCAGAAGTAGAAGTCATTCCTTTAGTATCCAGAGCAAAATGTCATCGTTTATTTATTATCACATGGTTGATAACAATTCTGAGGACTGCAACTTTTGAGTCAAGACAAGGCAGCTGCAGCAGAATTTGATCTTTTTCTTTATATACTTGTTAACATTTTACTCTCTATTGAACTGATTACTACAGAATCTGCAGCATGCCACTTAAATAACCACGTGTGATATGAATTATTTCTGCACTTATTACTAGTTACTGTTTCAGGAGACATCTGACATAGAAATGGAGAAAATTACATTATAAATAAGGTGCCTCTCTCCTACTCTCTGGGAATGGATAATGCTCTCTTTAAAGGCTGCAGTTTATATTCCTCCAAGATGATGTGTGCTAGAATATAATGGTGAGTCAGTTAACAAAATAAAGTGTGAGGATTAACATTACTGTTCAGATTTTTCTGCTCAGTGACACACAAAGGTATATCCCATGTCAGATAGAATATGTGTCTGGAAAGAAACTACTGATTTTCAAATAGTAAAACATCAAGATTTTATTTCTGGATAAATACTATCTGTAAATGAAGCAACTTTTCTGCTGGATGCTAAAAACATATTTATTCAGTAGTCTTTAAAAAGATTCCTCAGAACTAAACCCTGTTCATTACCAAGTTGTTACTCCACTTCAGGTAACCTCCAGCTTGAAAGCAAACAGACTAGAAGATTCCACAAGTGGATATTAAAATGTTTGATGAAGACATAGTTGTGTAAATCTGCAGAGTTACGAACTAAACAAGATGTCTGACAGCCTGCTGTCTGAAATGTAAAAGATCCAAGGAGTCACGTTTCAAAATCTCTTCAAAGATTAAATAAATATGGATACATACGCCATTCAAAATGGGACTAAAAATATTACCATGAATCTGGGACTGTATGTCACATGCACACTGCAAAGCCTGCTTTCATTTCATGTCCATAAATATACAGTAATTAAGAAGGAAAAATAAACTTTCTTTCACATGCTTTGCCCTATCTACCTTCAGTCAAACATCTTCCTCTTTTAGATGAAGAGAAAGAATATTATTCCAGCTGTTTCCCCAGTTCCGTCAGCACCAGTGAATTTTCAAGCAAATGAACAGAAAAAACTTCTGCTGAGTATCCTTTCAATTTGGACTGGACTCAATCCAGTAACAAATTACAGCTAATGCAGTAATTCTTGATAAATTTGAAGGCTTTTGCTGTGTAAATATTTTTCTTTAACTATTTTCTCTCTTAACGCATTCTGTAAAAATTCAAATGATGCCACAATATTGTTTAAAAGTGTCTTACTCTTCCATGAAGTTTCTCATTGAGTTTTGGTTCTCTGTGTTCACTTTTCTTCACTTTCAGCCACTGTACCAAAGGCTTGATTGTCAATCCCTAGGCAATGAAACATAATAATAAATACTTAGGGTATTAGACTCTCCTCCAGCTGAACAGTGCTAAATAGAGTGGTTTTATACATGTTTATGTTGTTTGTCACACTTCCCTACTTGATCCCTCTCCCCATTAGAGCTAAAATAATGCAGTACCCACAGCTACTGTTACAAAGGCTTGAAAAGGCATCAAGCAGCAGAAAAAAAACCGTATCTTCTATATAGCACTGTGAGCCTGAGAATATTTCCTATAGTAGTGCATGTTTGTTTTCCACACGTATTTATTAATTTAACGAATTTATTATGATTTATTACGAAAATTGAATTCTTGATACATTTTTGAAGTCTTTCAAATCAGTGTGTACTGACACATCTGCATTTATGTTCTTTTTTTTTTTTTTTTCATCCACAAATCACTGTTTTGTTGTGTAAATACTTTCTTGTCCCACTGCTTATTGCCATATTTTAAAAGAACAGCTTAGGCTCAGTCAGGTAGATCAGCTTAAAGACTGTATTTGCCAATAAATAGAACTGTCCCCTATAGTTATTCCTATGAGATGAGGAATGTTTAGTCAGATATTAACTTCAGTACTATTAATATCAAGCAGCTAAGACTGAACATTTTTTAGCACAGAGGAAATTGTGTTTTGTCCCTTGTGGTACTGTATGAAAACATAAAATAGGATCTTTGTTACTAAAATTACAAAGTCAATTATGCCTTCAGTTCAGTGAAACAATACGCAACCTTCAGCTGAGAAGGCCTAATACTTTTAAGAGACTCCTTTTCCACGCAAGAAACATGCATAGGAAGAAAAATTACCTGGAAAATAACAGTAAAAAACACAACAACGATAGTTGTGCTGACAAACAGGTTCTTCTCTTTCACTTTTCCTGTATCCAGAAGCGCAACCAGAGCAAAAGCAACTGCTCCACGTAGTCCACCATATGACATCACTACCTGGTCTATTATCTCCAACTGGACCATTCTGTAGTGGTTAAGAATCCAAGTCTGTAAAACTACACCTATAAAAAGCAAATATTGACATGCTAGAAATGCTCTTATTAAATATCAGTATCTCAACGGTGTGTTACAGAAACAGTACAAATTTCATAACAAATTCTTTACACCTTCTACTTCACCCACTCTGCTTCTAAACTGCCAGGTAGGCTGGGGTCACTTTGTATCTTGCCCATCATATTTAGCCAGAGGAGTTAGAAGAAGCTTATTCTACAATCTGGCAACCCTTCTGAGAATGCTGTCCTTTGATATGAGACAAGAATTTTTCTTCATCTATCACAGGTGCTGAAGGTGAAATTCTATGAGAGCTATGTGCTCTTCTTTGAAATCATTGTCTGGGAAATACTAGAATATCTGCACTGTAGTAAATTACATACATAGGATATTTTAACAGCAAGAAATACCAAAACATAAAATTGTTGCAACCCCATTGATTTAGAAAGCGTGGTAAGTGTGGTACTTTTTACAAATCATACTAAAAATGTCATCACTGTCAGTGCCTTGTGCAGTGTTGTATTGTTATGCTAACATCATCTTCGGGTCTACAGATGAGATACTGCCTTCTAGAAATGCTTGACCTGGAGTTCTAGAAATCATAATATCACCATGCAGAAGGAAAGGTGCTTCAGCATTCCTGTGAGTGCACAGCATGTGCATCCCACCACAGCAAGCCAGGACCATTACATTTGCCAGAGCAAAAGAAATCCTTCTCTTTTCAGAGAACTTGGAGGTTATACTAAGGAAAGAAAAATATATATCACTCTAAGAAAGGCCTCTGACGAAGGGGACCTTGAAAATTAATTCACATCACCAATCTAATTCTCTGAGGATATGAAAGCTGTAATCACGTATGAAGACAAAGGCCCAATATCATCAGACTTCTAGTAATTTATCAAGGTCTAAGTTTAATTACTTCCCTGGATACATATTGTCATTGCTGAATATTTACTGTTTAGTGCTCACTCATATTACAGGATGGTTAACAATTAATTCTAGGAATACAGCAAATGATAAAGTTTAAAAAATGAAAACCTGCTTAAGCACATTACACACCCTAATTAGTGAGTAGGAGCAAAATTAAAAATGGTTACAGACTATTTAGAAATGAGGACATGGTACTAGATCTTTTATTCAGCTCATTCAGTCTGAATGTGATCGCAGGGTTTAGGACACCTGCCAGCTAGGTAGGTGGCTCAGCTGGTACATAATTTAAATCAAACATTCAAATAAATGAGAAAATTCCAAGGTGTGAGCACATGCATGAAATCAAAATGCATGTTACTCGTTTTGTTTCAGGTCTTTTGCTATTTCACAAAACAGTCATTAAATTGTAGAAGTACACATCTAGGCAAAATGTTATCAGCATTTTGAATGTTTGCAAACTTATGTAAGTCCAGTACATCGACAGTATGTAATCCTTACCTGCCACACACATATTTACTCAGCTTTTCACCAGCCCAGAGAATTATTTCTCAAGCCAGAGAACCTGTAGTGTAATTCTGTACGGTCTTACATCACTGTGCATCTCAAATCTGAAGTCAACCATGAAATTAGCTTAAGACACTCTCTTTATTACCAAATTGAAAGAGCTGAAGAAAAGAGATGGCTGACAGGACTCACAAGTTTATTTTTCTGGGTTGTAATATAAAAAACAAAGTTAATTTCATTGGGAGATTTTGCAAATAGTGTGTTCATCACAGAAACTAGCCACTGGAAGAACTAGGTGAATGACTTAATTATTGGGCTAGCAATTACCTCACAAACGTGAAGTCCTACTATATTTTCCACTTATGATAAATCTTACTGTAAAAAACTTCCTTACTAAATGACAACAATCATAAATTCAACCAAAATGAATGAACTGGCTTGACTTGGCTTGGTATGGTTTGGGCAGAAGAATATATACCAACAACAAAAAGAAGATTATCCCCTTACCAATGACTCTATATACTGAGATGAATACCAGAGTCAAGAGTATAAAAGCTGTATTCCAAGTCCAAATTTTTGGATCTACAGCTGAAATTCCTAGGAACATGAAGATGATAGTTTCTGCTCCACTGGCCAACATTTTCATGGTATATCTCACAGTTGTAGAAGATTGTTCAGATATATTAGCCTTGACATATTTTTGACAGCAAATTCCACAGAAAGTTATCCTGGGGGAAAAAAAGTATATTCAATTGTTCAGAAAATATTTGATGTAACATTTAATATTAGTCTGTCACATAGTGACAATCTCACCATTAATTCCTAAAACAAACGTACAAAAAATGCACTCAGAGGCCATTGTGCTTTTTCATCTGCTTAAAAAGCATTTCTCAAACATTTCTCCTGAGGTGATTCCCAAAATATGTGATGATAGCATTTCACTGGTCAAAAAAGACCTTTTCAGCTTACTATACTGATTTATATGAAAAAAATTAATTCTTCTTTACATTAGATTAAAGCTTAAACTAATTATCTATTTCCAGTAACATTTTCAGGTACTAAATATACTAATTGTAATATCTACAAGCATGTCAAGCAAAACTGAGAAGAAAGATATGACAGAAATCAATGGATATCAAAGGAAGAAAAACCACGAAAGGTAAAAAAGACTACAAAAGATGACTCATGATAAAACCGACCAAATTTGGTAAAACCTAAGGAGGTCAATCTGGAGAGTGAAAGCAGGACATAATGCGTGTTACTGAATGCCTTAGAAAATTATTGCTTCAGTTAGAAACTGTAGAGTGTCAATAAAAATGGACAACTGTTAATTATTGAAGAGGAGACTATGAACCACAAAGTAGAAAGAACCAAATCTGTGTTTTGCAAAGAATGTCTTCGTGTTGCACAAAAAATACTAGAAAACTAGCATTGCTTTTTGAGGATAAATAATCATGGCATTTGCAAACTGTAATCATCTATGATGAAAAGATAGAAATATTCAACACAAACTTTAGAACTGTTGTATTTTGTAGCGGCCTTATGTAATTTAGGTCTTTCAGTGTTTACAGAAACTATGTTGTCTTCTCAACCCCGTTCACAGACAATGAAAAGGACTTACGCAAGGATAGCGGAAAGAGAAAGCATCTCTGCTGTGAGGTAGGACAGGTAGGAAATAATGAAAACAAATCCAGGCTCGATGATTCTAACGTGCTTGGTGAAACGGCTGACCAATGAGAGCAGAAATGCAAAGAAAATGCCAACAAGTGTCCCACCCAGGCTTACCACGAAGAACGACACTGAAATACAAGAAAAAAACACATCTTAAAGAGTAGAAACTAGAACTAATTCTTCTTTTACTGTATGGCCAGTGAATCAGAGAAAACCTTAGAGGGCATTTCAAAAATTGTTTCAGAAATACCAATACAACAAGAAGAATTCTTGCAAGTACTTGGTATAGGAACAACATCCCATAGGAAAACAAAACAAAACAAAATGAACAAACAAAAACCAACAAACTTACTTTCTGTTGAGCATTATTATTTTAGGCTTACTCAAAACCCACTAACTTAGTTTGAACAATTATTTTTCCCCTACTGTTATGGAATATGTCAAAGTCACTGCTAATGCATTGATTCATAGGATAATTTAGTATCTTATCAAGCTTGGAATGGGAAAGAGTGACTAAATTTTTTTGCAAATATTGCTGCTTGACACTGATTTCCATCAAGTACTACAAAAATCAAGGTTGGCGATCTTAGCAACTGAAATCTACATCTATCAATTCTCAAACAAAGTTGAACAGAAGAGTCTGAGAAATTTCCCACATGTTCATGAATTTTCACTTATTTTTTTGAAGAATTCTTGCAAGTTTATTCTCTCCTTATATTCTGTAGCAGTGTAGGAATACGACCAGGGAAAATGCTGAAAAAGAACAGTTTCTGACAGCACAATAATAAAATTTTATTTAAGAGTCGGCATATGTACACCAGTGGTATGTTACAGAATTCAATTCTACCCACCTATGCCTTTGACACATTCAGTACCAGTCACATTCTCTGGTCCTATTGCAACAAAAGATTCAAACACATTGTACAACACCTGAAAAGAAAAGTAAACTGGCTTAGTACTTGCCCCTGAGTGAAACCTACTACAATAATCTCATTATGGGCCGCAACATTACGAATTCTGAAACTACTTATGAATGAGGGAAATTTTTTATGGAGGGAAAAGATTCTGAAGAATTTTAATTTTGCAAAAAAGATGCAGTGGGATGGGAAGAGCCAAATAAATCAGTTTAAAATGTTTTTCCATTTCTTATATAAATATGATTCTTTATGAACAATTAGATGTATGTGAGTATTATAAGACACTTCTCACTCTAAAATCCAAGCTTTTGGCAGAAGATTTTTTTACTGCTTGCATTAGATAAATAAGGTAGTATGAATACAACAAGAATTATTAATAAGATATTAATAAGTTACTGGATTGAAACATGTTTAACATACGTAAACATAAAAGAGAATTAACTGTAATTTTTGCACTAAGGCTTTTCAAAAATTGATAACACTGAAAGTAAAGAAATCATCTATTACCCAACTTAGGAGATCACTGTTTGTATGAGTATTATTCTTGTATTATGATAGGTACTTGTCTAACCTGTTTTTAAAGACCTCTAGTGATGGAAGAGTACTTTACTGTGGCTTTCTCAGCTTTTGTTGTTTCAGCTAAACTCATTAATTCTTACCATATTTACCATTTCTTACCCCTATTTTCTTCCGTAGCAACACTCTTTTACATACTTACATTTAAAGAATGCCATATCTTTCACTTTCTTCTGCCCTCCATTGTTTTCTTATTCAAGGTAGACAACCTTGCTTGTTTTAAACTTTTTCATAAGCTATGCTTTTTCTTGGTTATGCTTACTGTTCTCTCCTGTTCTTTTCAACAAGTAATCAAGTTTGCTTGTGGAGTATTTTTATTCATTATGCAGTGGCAAAAACTTGATTCCTTGTGAAAATCAGTGATGTTGATACAGGAGTTTATAAGAAGTTTAATATTTGGTTCTAGAAATCCCTCCAACATAAAGTATTTCATTTATGAGAGTGCGTTCAGAAAAGAAAAACAAACAAACAACAAACAAACAAACAACAAAAAGCCACTTGAGAGTTAGAGTGACCTTGGGATATATAGTTTACTTACCACAGTGACAGCATCATTCAGAAGTGATTCTCCAAAAACAATGATGAATAGAACTTCGTTGACATGGACTTCTTCAAATACTGCCAGCACAGCAACAGGATCCACAGCAGCAATCAAGCTGCCAAACAGGAGGAAGTCCAGCAACCCACTGTCCAGGTGGCCTTCAAAACAAAGTACAAAAACTATAAGCAGATTCATCTTTGCGTTGTCTGTAGTAATGTCAGACTGTCATATCACAGACAAAACAAAATCCTTGAAAACAGAGATTCTAAGATTTAACTGGAAAGCATGGCATATAAGCTATTTAACATGTCCCTCATGATGTCACTTTGTGTCCTATGAGATTTATTAGATCCAAAATCATACCATCTAACTCAGACTCTGGAAGCAGTACCTTATTCTTATGGCAAGGCACATGAGATTAAGTTTTTCCAGATATAAACTGCCTTTGTAGTTACGTGTTGTGTCGTTCATCTGAAGTAAAATGTCTCAGCTTAGTTGACAACAGACAAGATGGCTGAAGTAATATTCCAGCACCCCTGAAGTAAATGTTCTAAAATACTACAAGAGGTCAAATTTGCCTCTTGCTCACTAAGAATGACTACAGTGGGGGCTTAACCACACTCTGTGCAGTTATACAGCATTTCTGTACCAGTAGATGTGTTTTGACAGATGTAGTTGAGACAGTTGTTCCCAAATTATGTTCCACGAGGCCAGTATTACATTGCAGGTGGGCTCTAGAAACAGGTAAAGGACTAAAAGTTACAACTTCAATGTGCTTGTGTTGTAGCTCATGAGAATTTTGAATAATGGTGTTTTGTTGCTGTTGTTCATTGTTTTTTGTTGTTGCTATTGTTTTGTTTTTTTTTTTTTTTTTTTTTTTTCAATGGTTTCAAAGGTTTAGGAACTACAGGATTCTAGTGACGAAGGAATACAGCACTTATTTATTGCATTAGTTTTTATCTTGTATTACTTATTAAGTTTACTTTGCTCACCTATGGAAACAGAAATGTGTGCAAACAGAATGAGGCATGCGCTATCATTTTAAAAGTAACAGCAAAGGGAAAGCTACAAAGATGGCTCTGCTAATTTCCTAAAGATCTTGCAAAATTTACCTTCTTCATGCAACCAAGAGTGGGATCCCAGTCCTTTTTATCTGAGGAACAGATTTTTGCAAGAGTAGAGAACAGGAAAAATCCCTCTGTGCTCATTAGTGGATGGAAGAGAAAACAAGGTTCATCAAGAGGAGAAAAAGATCATATGAGGAAGAACAAAGAAGGAATATGTTCAGAATTCATTCATGAGAACACAGTGCAGAGGTCCAGGACAAAAATTAATAGACAGTTGTATCAGGCATGATTTATATAAGTGAGGGAGAAATTGACATGAATAAGTTATTTAGAAGAAAAAGTCAGAAAATAACTGGACAATAGCTCTACCCAAGGGACCAATATTGCTTGTAAGGCACTTCTATTGCAACATGGCCACTCCCTTAGCAGAACACTTTTTTAAATCTAGAGTGTTTAGCGTTTAAAAAGTAACTGAGAGAGAAACTATATTCCAAATATTTGTTACAAAATACGTAGGCATATTTACTCAAGAGAAGGACACTTAAATGGGAAGGCACAGACAACAAAAATGCAATAAAAGCCAATGATCTGAGGAAGCTGGAGAAAAACATATTCTCTCAGGGGTCTTGGTAAGGCCCTGAAAAGTGAAGCTCACAATTTGCATTAAAATATATATATATATAACTACTATTTAAAAAGCAAAACAAAACATAACAAACCCACGTGATAGATTTGTTCACTTTTGGACATATGGGACAGTGAATGAGGAGTGAATCTTTCCACTTTTCATGTGAGAGGAAGGTCAAGTCAGTGAGATGGAGACTGTGCCAAAAGTTTTGAGAACAACCTTGAACTTAAATCTAAGTAATGATTCCATATAATGATGTCCATCTCTGCCAAGCTTAAAGAAAGACAAGCTCAATAACAGTAATTACCAGATATCAGGGTACAATAAGCCTTTAAAATAACTTGGCTCACTGGGATTTCTTATCGTTTTTAATATGTTACCAATTATAATCATTGGTACATTCTTTGAAGAGGTGCAAAGCTAGTAAGCAAATATTTATGGAAAAGTTAGGACACATCCATAATTCCTACAACTTAATGTCAAGAGGCATGGGGTTGCTAGACCAGACTTTTAGTTAGACAAATAGATATTTCAAAGGGATACAAGATCATTGGTTCCTCCAGGTCACTGGAGTCTGGAGTCACTAACTGTCAGCAGTAACACTTGAGCAAGGTAAGTTTGCTGGGCCCAAATCAAGACTCACACATACTCAACATATTGCCACAGCGACTTGTACAGGGAAAAAGATGTCCAAGTGTTAAGCACAACCACAATTAGACAGTGCTGTAGCACTTAGGCCTGTGTTGGTTTAACAGCAGGTTGTGAAGAATTCATTGCAATCAGCCAGAAGATTCATTAGATTCTTCTTCCCATGGCTGCTGGTTAAAAGGTAAGGTGCTGAAATTATTTCACTTCTAAGGAAAGATTTCTCTGTTATTATCACCTTGTCTTTCCATTCTGTAAACTATAGATATATTATAAATATAGGTATAATTATAAATATATTATACCTATGAGAACACCAAATGGAAACAAAGTGCTTCTAGAATTTTTATTTATGTAGGAAATCTATGTAATTCAACCTGGATTAACTGCTTCCATATGAAGCAGTTCCACACTGATGATCAGTGTGAAGTAAATGATTACAGGATGATTCCACGGTAAAGTTGAAAGAAATTTTTTTCTATACATCTGTACATTAGTGGATACACATTCCTACATACTAATTATATTATTTTAAGCACTATTCATTCCAATTATAGAAAGAGTAGAGTAGAACCAAAAATACGTTTTAGAAACTCAGCAAGAAGGTACTATGAACTCTCCAAAAAACTGAGTAGCTCAGCACTTCTCCGTCTTCAGCAAACAAGTAAAAACACCAAGGCTTCTCACAAAGTCTGGTGCTCAGATCTTGATGACATCTTGGAGGTCAACACAGTGAATTTAGTGGATTAGTAGTATGCGTCATGTAGATAATTTGAAGTCTCATCTAGTTTTGACAGAGAATGACACAGTTTAAATTAGGGACAGACTTCTCTGCCCTACTCCGTGACTCAAATTAGAGCTCTAGTAGGTTATAGTATGTCTTGTTGCTAAAACAGGTTGTGACAGTTAGCAACTACACTCTTTCTAAACATTGAAATTTGTGAGGCACGTCAGTCAATAGTCTGCCTTAGTGAACAATTAGCTTATAGAGCTTTATCTGTGGCCTGCAGTGTGGAATGATTCTCTGTCTAACTCTAAGTTCAGAGCTTCAATATCAAAACGAGTTCTAGTACGAGAACTGTTAGAACTAATATTATACTTGTTCTAGTATAGTTTTGGTTCTATCACTGAAAGATCTGCATAGTGATGAAGCAATACATAATCGCATAACAATGAAACAAAATATGCAGCTATCAAACACAGCTTGTACAATTAATCCAGAACTGTGTAAGGATTTGGATGAGAGCAAGGAGGTAAATGGGCTTTTCACTTCAAATAACACATTCAAGAAAACATTTTGCATGTCATACAGAGGTCAGTGCTTTTCTCTCCATGATTTTTATAATTTTTTTATAATTAGTAATTATCATTCATTCTATTTTCCGAAGAAGGATGTTAATAAATATAGGTTGACAGTATTTTTTAAATTGCTACATAAAATTACCAAAAGAAAAAACAGTTTGAATGTTAAAAGAAACAAAGTCTTGTCCAATCTGTTGCAGTATCAAGCAATACTGTGTGGAAACTTATGCCAGTATTTAATACTACACTGTCTGTTTAATGTTGATGCTTATCTTTACAATACATATAGATGCTATATTTACATAAAAAGTCTTTTCCATTTCCCATTGTTAACGTTTCTATTCACCAAAGCCTGTATTTAACAAGTATGGGACTCAGTACAAAATATTGTGCCCAGAGGCTGAAAGAACATCTTACCTACTCACAGTTGTCAGCAGTGCCTGTAGTCATCTTAGTAACTTCTTGTGACTTACAAAACATGATTTATCTCAAAGTCAGTTAAGTATCTAAAATGTAAGGTATCTCTGTCATGTATGTTGATACAAATACTTACGGTAACCACAGAAAGATGAATTTCTCTACGAACAAATTTGTAGTCAAGTTCTTCCATACATGGATTTTCATATAAAGACAAGAAATTCAGCTACAGGTTTCCTTTAAAATGAGTGTAATAGGTATCACAATGGAGTGCTCAAAGAAGCTAGCTTCAGATTCTCATACTCCCTGTACTGGGTGCTTGGTTAGTATTAGAGACTAGAAAGTGGAGTGAAATTCTACTACCTTATCTTCTATAATAATCTGCTAATATCTTCTTTCTTCCAAGACAAAATATTTTTCTCTGAAACATCTGCAAACTCTAATATCTGAGGCATTCTTATAGCTGGACTGAAAAAGAAGTCAGTGATAAATTACCCTGAGTGTGTTGGCACTACTTTTTTCAGAGAGCAGACTCATGACTGGTTGTTGAGCCTATTCTACAACACAATACACACCTTGGCATCTCAGGGCCTCTCACTCCATCCAGGATCTCAGCACAGGTTGCAGAGAACAGAGGGGCAAAGTGCACAGGTAAAGCAGCATTATATTTATACCACTCTCAATAGCACTCAACAGTGCTCTTTAACTATCTTCTGGAACTCACCGACCTAAGGGAATTCTGAAGGCCGTTTGAGCGCCAGTGCAGATAACAAAAAAAGAATAAAGAGGACTCCTAAACACACATGCAAAGCACAATTAGTGCTAATTATTGCCGTCCAGGTGGCAGTACACGGCTTTTATGCATGTCACATCTGCTTGAAGAGAGTCATTGTTCCATGTCTCTTCTAGCATATCCATGCCCTTGCATACCATAGTAAAGTTAAGACAAAATCCGTCTTACATGTGCTACTTGGCTCTGTAAGTCTTTACACAAAATTTTTAGCATCAGAATGCAAAATACAGATGTCATGAATACATACCCACTCAGCAAACATTGCTTCCTTGATATTAGACCTGACGGAAGAGAGACATTTCCTTTCAATGTTAACTTTTAAGTTTTCTACCACAGTAGGAAGAAACAAACCCTTCAGAATGTATTTTTTTTTGTCCAGGTGACCACAAGCAGGATGAATCCTCAGCTTGATCCTGAGAATGTACGCAGACATTTAGAGCATGGAAATATAAGAGGCACAGATACAAGTCGCTTTTGATCTTAATTCAGAGATGAGTTAAATATAATTACAAGTTGCTCCAGTTAAAATCTGACTTTTCTGCTGACAAGTGCTGTTAAATTGCAATGTATACCCTGTTCTAACAGCTGGCATCCACTAACTTTCATAATTGTACCTTTTAACAGATCAAACTTACCCATTATTCCTGTCCGATAGACACCATAGAGAGATAAACCAGTTGTGGCTGCATTCCATACGGTCCCAATGACAGCATACAAAAGGATGGAACCAAGATTTCCAAAGAATAACCTATTTGGCATAAAATATCCAGCATCCAGAACAATGGGAGGCAGCAGATAGAAAAAAAACACCTCCGGTGTAAGGGTAAAAGAGGCAATGTGATCTGCTGCCCATACAATGCCACCAAGGAGGACACCAAGAACAATCAGTAGAGCACTCTCTGGAACCACCCGAGTGACTTTGTGGGACAAGTGGAAAACTGCAATGAAAAAAGGAAAACAGTGTATGAGAACTGGAAAGAAGTTCACCAACAGTTGCTAGCTGGTAATTTTGAAACAAACTTCTTGCTTTCCTTGCTATTAGAACCCCCACGGCATGCATGTAATGCATGGGACACAGCCTGTCAGAACCCAAAACCCATCTTTTTGAAAAACAAAACAAAAACATTGATTTTCAGATTTTATCCAGGCGGAATATTTAATTCATATTTAGCCTCGTATGAAGCCAGTGTTCCACATTCATTTCCTTTCTTGGACTATCTTCTCTTTGAAATATCTGCTTAGGGAAAGAAGGCGTTCTTTGCAAAAGAGTTCAGGGCAAGAATGAAAAGAAATAGAAAAATGCTGGAAATATACTCCTTTGTGGTTTAGTTCTATATCTAAAAATATGCACTTAAGATCCCAACATTTGTCTTTAGAAGTAGTCAGTGCACTAGCAGATATGTTGAAGGATGGAAAGAGAAGTAAGCCAAAAGAATAATTAGTTTTAAGTCAACTCTTTTTTAAATTACTGAAGAATATTATATGAAAATGTGGCCCACAACAGGAAGAGAACGGAGCTGACAAAGTGGGAGATCACTTTGGGGCCCTTACCTCAAGATATCCCTAGCAAGAATTTCAGCCATAAAACATTCCAACTTTCTAAAGTACAGCAGAAGAATCTTCCCCATGACTATGCAGAGGTCTTAGATCAGGTTAACTCATCCTCAAAGTCTCCTCTTTAAGTATTTGCCCTAGTCAAACATTTACAAGTTACCTTTTGAAGTAATTTTAGGGCCCCATTTTTGAAACGTCTCTTTTTCCTGGCTGCATCTACACAGATAGCATGAGAAGCACAGCTCATCACTATGGTGGTAGCAGAAAAAGATCCTTACAGTTGTATGACATCCATGAACTGATCAGAAGAGAAAACATTGTGGGAAAAATGAGAGCAGCCTGCCTACGTCAGCATTCCCACCACAGTGAGAACGAATGCATGTTTTCCTAAGGGTCTGTAGAAGAGATTTGAAAACTAAGCCATTTTAGAAGATATCTTGAGAATGGGATTAAAAAAACAGCAATCACACATAAAAGCAAACAGCACTCAGTGATGTTGGCTAACCTATGCTAGTTCACTTTATCATTTGGGTCTTGCAATCAATCACTACATAACACTCCACAGAAACAAATTCTGTGGCTTTCACAGTTTTCCCTCTTTATAATAAAATCCCTCAAATTTTGCCTTAGTTTAAAAAAGAAAAAAAAAAAAAAAAAGCTAATATTCCATGTGTAAAAATTGTGGCATTTAACTTTTCAAAAGTCTTTACTACTGGCTATTCTTTATTCCTTGAATTTCCAATCAGTGAATTATCAACTAATCTATTACCTCGTGGAGTAGGGATTATATCCTTATTCCTGAAAATGAATGGTACTGAGCTAATGTTACTACAGTCTGTTTTTCCAACTCCTATTTTAATAGACAAACTGTAACTAAAAGAAGTTAAAACTTTAAAATAAAACAGTGAATGCATTTCAAAACAAGATATTGAGAAAATACCAAGATGTACTTCAGCTAAAAATTCATATTCCGTAGAATTCTCATTTTTACCATCAAAAACTAGTTTCTCCCAGTGAGTGCTGAAAACTCAACTAGATTTTGCTTATAACATTGTCACCTTCCCCTAGAAGCTGTTCCCATGAATTCAGCTACAGCAACACCCACATCATTCTGTGTTCCCTTTAACACTGATCAGCTGATGATACATGTACAACATTTGAGTATTATTAGTATCATTAGCAGAATCCTGGTGTCTGTATGCCTAGAAATATGTAAAAGGAAGATTCCACAACTGATGCAATTAAATGAAATAACTTCGGACTAGGATGCAACTGGAATTTTGACTTCATATTTTCATTTAAATTCTTTTTCAAGGTACGTAAATGCATAAATTATATTTAATAAAGATTGTGTAATATAGTTATAGCATCTATGGGACTTGATAAACATTAATCCCAAATTCATTCCCTAATATTTTTTTAACACTGTTTAGAGGTTATGTCCCTAACGTGCTCTGAGTGTGTTGATAGCCTTGGAGAGATCCAGAAATAGCCCAACAAAGTTGTGGACACAAGATAAAGTAAGTAGAAGAACTGGAAGTTTTAATTACATAGGTTGCTCCAAAAGTAATGCCTCTTATTTATTTCCATGGAAACTATAACAAGTTCAAAGAGCAGAATAATATTATTTGATAGAGCAAATTTTCAGCTACAAATCTGTATTTTTCAGCATAGTCACCATCATTAGCCATGCATTTTTGCCACAGTAAACAAAAGCATGGCATGGTTGCAAAAATCTGCATGACTATCTGGAATATGGTATTTCTTTCACATCATTGTTGCCACTGCTGAAAAGTACCACCCACTGCCTCATTCTGCTTGCATCCATTAGCTGGTCTCCACAAACATTCAACAAGCATTCATGTATGCCAGTGGTGCAATTATTTTCACATGGAGGAATTCAATTATGCACCTTTGCTTCATATGAACTTCCATGTCAGATATCAAATTGTCAGACTGACCCTCTACTGCCATCTGTCACACAGCAACAAAATATAACAGAATATTGGCAGTAAGGCTCAACCTTTACTGCCTTAAAACCAACATCCGTGTCTGAAATTACGAGCTAATATAATAAAATAGGAGGCATCACTTTCGGAGCATCCCCTCATACATCTGTGTGCCTAGCTTGAATAGATATTCCACCTGACTGAGAAGTAAAATCTCCAGAAATTATGGACAAGGAGTTTAGCATGAACCTACGGTTGTGAAAGAAATCCCAAGCATCAGTAAGGACAGCAAGCAGTGCAGCTCATATAAATTACTCTGTGAGCCACCCAAAGGTGAAATTTAGACTGTTTTCACTGCTGTCAACTATGAAAAGTAAAAGAATGACTATTAATGAGGCAAGGGAAAGAGCAAAGAAACACAAATAAGCACAATATTTGAAGAAAATTTTTGCCTTTCATTTGCCATTTCATGCTAAACCTGGCTTAGCAGATTAAACTGCGCTGTGGATAAATTGCACTTGAATTCAAGTATCACTGAAGTAGAAGCTTCCTACAAAGTTGAGAAACAATTGCACAGCATAAACTTCCTGGAAAAAACAAAACAAAACAAAACAAAACAAAACAAAAGACCTGACACTTCTTCCTTTAAGATCCATGAAAAGGAACTGTAGCATTTGAAATATCTCAGAAGGAAGACAAAAATTACCAGATTATTATTTGATAGTTGGGTCCAGTTTCTTTTGAATCTAGTAAAACAATATACTCAAAGTAAGTTTCTCACACTTGAAGAATACAGTAACTTAGATTAAATCCTGCAGTGGAATTTACAACATTCAATGAACTGTCTGCTAGTTTTAAAGTGTCCTGAAGCTGCTTTAAAGGAAGCGATTCGACAGATCAGCCTTTTTCTCATTTACTAAATAAAATGACTGGTTTCTAAATAAAAAAGGGAAGTTAAGTAACAAGAAGAAAAAACAAGAGAGTAAAAAACAAGATGTCATGTACAATTCATGTTCAAATCATTTAATTTTGTAGATCCGCAAGCAAAAAGAATTTGAAGTAGATTTTTCTAGATTTCTTTCCAAATTCTCTCTAACAGAACCTGTTATTTTTTATGAATACTGAATTTTAGATATCAAGAGAAACAATTCAGTGACTGGATTTCAGAACTTTTGGCTTTGTTTCCAGCTGAAATGACAGAGTTTCCGCCTGAACATACAGCATTTTAAAATTAAAAAGCTGGAATTATCTGTTTAATATTCTGTTAAATTCCTGAATTTATACAGCAACTCCAACACTTCCCTAAGAGATTAATGACATTTTCATTAACTTTATTACTCTAAAGTCAAGACCTTGTAAATACTGAGAAAAATTGTGATAGTGTCAGAGTCACTGCAACCACCAAAGCCACAGCATGTAAACAATATGCAGCAGGTCATTCAAAAAAATTAAGAGCTGATTTATAAAGATGCTATTAATTACCTGCTGAAATGTTTTGTTGCTCTCTTATTTGCTTGTTTGTTTGCTTTAATACTTCTTCAAATAAAATCCAAGGAATCAAAAAATTAAATTATAAGCAGATTTTTCAGCCTTTTGGCTTCCATAGTTTGCCTGAGAGAGCAGAAATCAATTTGCAAACATTTCTTAGTTCTTTCTACCACTACCGGCAGTTTGGTTTATATCAGCTGTATTTTTGCTAGTGGGTCAAGCAAACACTGCTAATACGCTATTAGTGTGATTTTCAGTTTTGAGTTTGTATTTTCATATACACAGATCAAATAATCATATGATATCAAGTCACAGTTGACTCTGAGATCCAAGACTTGATTCTCTCTAACTTCTGAGAAGCCTTGCCACTGACCAAAAGTAAAAGCAAAACACTGCAACTTTTAGTGATTCTGTACATTTTCTTTATAGATACGCTATCCATAGTATCTTCCTGCTTATGCAGCCTGCACAGAGGATCTAGGAATTTCAGTTATGATCATAAGAACTGGAAGAACTATTTGATCACACATCAAAAACCTCCATTATCACAACTCCACGCATGATGATCCTCATTTCAGAGATTTTTGCTCCTGCTAAATCTCTGTGAAGGTACATCATCAGCCTTCACCTCTTTCTATCAGAGTATTCATAGCAATTTTATAACCATTTGCCTGTGTGAAAATTATTTCAATTTTCTTGAACAGTTCTTTAACCGTGATGTTAAATCCTTAATTTCTTGTTACATATCCGCAGGGAAAAACCTATCTCTTTCTGTTGCTTGTCTTTGTACTGTTACAGCAAGCTGTTTATTTTCACTTTCCAGTTGAGCTCTGTCTATTTCATTCTGAGTTCAAGAGTCATCAGAAGTATAGACTGCCTTCTGCATCAGTTACCATAGGAGCAACAAGTCCAACACCATTAATAATTTCCAGTCACAGGTATAATCT